CATACTCAGACAGGAGTTATACATGTTTAAGAGAAATGAAGGGCCATACCATATGAAGGTTAGACAAGCATGCTACCCACACAGGTTATCATTACAGATGTTAAGCTGTACCACCCGGCTGTGGTAGTGCTTGTCATATTTCTCCAATGTAATGTTGCTGTTGTTCTTCCTAGTCTTCCTTCCAAAGATACTGTATGTGACTCACACTTAAGCTCTTTGTCTTGCTTGCTTAAATGTAATATTGCAAGATCTATACAGCACAAATGTTATCCCCCTCTTAAAGATAAGAAACTGAGGCTTAGAGAACTTGTTTGAAGTCACAAAGCTAAAAAGTGCCAGTCATGAATCAAAACAAAACTTTCTGAATTTTAGGCTAAGTGGTCTTTTCAGTGCAATACAATTTGAAGGATGCAGGTTACATATAAATAAGCTAAATTTCAAGCAACACATTATTCAACCACTAGATCAATGGTTCTCAACCTTCCTACTGCCACGACCCTTTAATAGTTCCTCATTTTGTGGTGACCCCCAACCTTAAATTATGTTCGTTGTTACTTCGTAACTATAATTTTGTTACTGTTATCAATCATAATGTAAATATCTGATATGAAGGATGTATTTCATTGTTACAAATTGAACATAATTAAACATATTAAAGCATAGTGATTAATCACAAAACAAGATGTCATTATATATTTATGTGAAATATTTATGTGTTTTCCGAAGGTCTTAGGCAATCCCTGTGAAAGAGTCTTTCGACCCCCAAAGGGGTCACCACCCACAGGTTGAGAACCACTACTAGACTTTTTCTATATCGTTCATGAAAGTCGTGTTCCGCTGGGAGTGGCTCTTTTTGCTTATTAAAAAGCCCTTGTGGTGAATATTAACACATAGCTGCTAACCAAATGGCTGGTGGCTTGAAGCCACTTGCAGCTCTACAGGAGAAAAGAACTGAAAATCTGTTCCCTTGAAGGTTGTAGCCTATTGTTTTCAACTAAGCAGCCATCTAAGTGAGGCATCAACTAAGCCCACAGGGTAGAAGCACACTAGCATATGTGATCCAAGGATTATAAATAATAAAATCCAAATACGAAGGAGGGAATGGTATCAGAGGTTAAATTGTGAACACAACACCCCGTCTGCAGAAGGCTATGGATGACAGTGGGATTAAGCCTGTGGCGAATCTCCTTTCACCAAACACCAGGGATGTGAATAGCCTTGCTGTTAGGCTGAGTGCAGTGTTGTTATATTGTTGTGTATGTTTTTTCTGTATTTTTTCTGTATATGAAATCCAGAAAAGATAAAGCTATGGTATCAGCAACTACATTTATGGTCTCTTGTACAGCAGAAGAAGTTGAGAGGAAATGGGGAGTTGATAACAATGAGTAAAAGAAATTAGAAAATGTTTTAACATTAAATGTGGAGAAGATTGTACGACTTTTTAAAATATGAATGAACTACTGGAATTATATGGTATATGTATTATATTCAAGAACGATTACAACCTAGGAAACCCTCTAAAACCTAGGAAACACAACTAAGTCAACAATCCTTTCCTATTAATGTATTCAACTTCTACTTCTAGACAAAAGTCATATAATTTTTCAGTTTGATCTAAAGAACAGAATCTAAAAAAACAACACCTCGTCTCAGAAATATCTTCCCACTACTCCAAATGTGCTTATAGAAACTGCCTCACCTACCTTCCCCGATGTTATTTTTGTTGCCACTTAGTGACATATGGCAACCGTATGTTTAGGAAAACTAAATATTGCCCGGTCCTGAGCAGTTAACTAGGTGTAACTAATGAAAATATTGAATACAGTAGTCATATAAGTAAATGGAAATGAACATTAGGGTAATACATTGGTTAAGAGCTCAAACTCTCGAGACAGTTCAGAGACCAAGTTTCGGTTCTATCACTAACACTTTAACCTTGGAAAGTCATCTAGCATTCCTAAACCTTATTATCCTTATCTAGAAACTAATGTTGGTTATTTTGTAAATAAAAAGTAATTTTGTAATTTGGATGCTAATATTATTTATAGGGTGGTATATATATATACAATATTAAAAACACTGGCTTTAGGATAAATTTGGAATTTATAAGTTCATATTGTTTTGTACTTTTGATACCACAGCGATAGGAACAGTCATTACTTTGAAATGTGCACGGCCTTGCATACACAACAGGCTTTTCTGAAAAGAGACTATATTCTGTACAATTTGTCTCTGAGGGGAAGGAAAGCAGGGGAGAAAGGGAGAACCGATCACAGTGATCTACATATAACCCCCTCCCTGGGGGATGGACAACAGAAAAGTCGGTGAAGGGAGACATCAGCTTAAGACATGACAAAATAATAATAATTTATAAATTAAAAAGGGTTCGTGAGGGAGGGAGGGAGGGAAGGTGGGGGAGGGAGAGAAAAAAAATGATCTCAAGTAGAGAGAAAATGTTTTGAGAATGATGATGGCAACAAGTGTACAAATGTGCTTGACACAATGGATGGATGTATGGATTGTGATAGGAATTGTACGTGCCCCCAATAAAATGATTTTTTAAAAACCCAAAAACTTGATGTACTACTATACACATTTCCAGAATGTTATATGGGATGAATTTAATTAATAAATCTCTTATAAATCATAAAAAAAGAAAAGCAGAAAAACTTTCCCAGTAAGTTAGGATATACAAAGTTCATTTGATTCCTGTACTCGCCAATATAGTTAATAAAGGACTTGCTGAAAATCCCTGTCACAGGCCTAACGATACTTCTTCCAGAATCTGTGACAGACAATTCTTCATAAAGAAAAACAGTCTAGCTATCCAAGGGCAATTAATCTACTGTAGTACTCCAGCCAAGAGCAAGAGAGAAGCAGAGAGGAAATTTCAACTGGAAAATATTTTGACATAATTGGCCCAGATGACAAACTAAACTTAAGCATATGTCAAGTGCTGCAATCTGCACAAAAGCACATAAGTATGCCCAAAGATATTAAGAACCCACCCAAACCAAAGTGAAATCTCAACTCTGAGTGGAGCATATGTCTGTTCAACACTGTGTAGAAAAGATGCACAAAAGAAATTCAAATGATCTTTTATAATTTTAGTGGTGGGGGGTTTGTTTAAAGTCTTCTATCAGAATCCTATCTTGGGTACTCACTGTAATTATCACTGTACAAGTTTTAGGGAGCTCCTCCTTTCACTATGTCTACAATACTGGTATTTCCAAGCTGGCTAGAAATTCCAGTGTATAGCTGCTTTCTCCTGGCATCTCTCAAAACGTGTAAGATTTATTATCTCAAAAAGCACAAATTTAATGACTAACACCTAAATCCTTTGTGATACAAAAATTTATGTTGGAACCCAAAGGTCGCGTTTTTCTTAGAAAATTAAAACTAGGAAGAACAGTTTTATAACCAACTTTGTTGACTTTATTTTTCATAGGTAAGCTACTTCAACTGTCTTCATGAACAAAAATTGAAAAGAAAGGACCAATGAAAATACTAGAGAACAACAAATTATCTATTTATGTCCCGTGACTTTTCACCGTGAAAAATTTTAATCATGTACAAAAGTTTAAAGAATATATTTTCAACCAAGACAAGATTCAAATATTGAAGAATATTTCAACCTACAAAAATTCTATACAGAAGAGAAACCCCACATTAAATATAAGTTACTAAGTAGGATAAGTAATAATCATTAAATGAGTTATGAAGATACTTCTTTCATAATTCTTAGCATCACTTCATTCTGTGTGTGAATGGGCTATGTGACTGTACTAATGTACTAGTCACATAAAAATTATTTTAATGAGCATGCTAAATAAGATTTTCAAAAAGTTTCACAGGGGAAAAAAAAGACTCAAAGTGAAACGCCTAATATTCTAGAACAGTGGCTCAACTTTCCTAATGCTGCAAACCTTTAATACAGTTCCTCATGTTGTGGTGACCCCCCTCCCCCAACCATAAAATTATTTTCGTTGCTACCTCATAACTGTAATTTTGCTACTATTATGAATCAGGTGACCCCTGTGAAAGGGTCATTCGACCCCTAAATGTTTCCAAGAATGGAATCACACATTTGACAAATGTATTAAGTGTAATGGAGAATACTTTGAAGGTGATACAGTTGTTCTGTAAAAAAAAATTTTTAATCTACAGCTTTGGCGGAAAAAATTGGGGGGGGGGAGTACCCCCTTGTCTAAGAAATAGGATCAAGATGCTAAACAAATCAGTGCTATCATTGGCACAGTCTGGTAAACCTTAGTCTAAGGTAAATCTAAGACTGCTAGCCACAAGGTCAGCAGTTCAAATTCATGCTGGAGAAAGACAAGACTACTTTTACCCTAAAGATTTAGTCCTGGAAACCTTAGATAGGGTCATTATGAGACAGAATTGACTTGATGAAATTGTCTTGATTTAGTAATCATTGATTACCACAGTTTGCTGATTACATTCACTAATTTCTTATTTCTATTTATACATTATGATCAATCTCAAGTAAAAATCTGCTGCTTTTTACCATGTCCTTACTTTTTTTTTTTCCTTTAATCATTTTATTGGGGGCTTGTACAACTCTTACCACAATCCAAGCATCCATCCATGTGTCAAGCACATTTGTACAGTTGTTGCCATCATTTTCAAAACATTTTCTACTTGAGATCTTAGTATCAGCACCTCATGCCAACCGCTCCCCGCCGCATACCCTTGATAATTTCTAAATTATTATTAATTTTTCAGGTTTTACATGGACCGATATTTCCCTTCACCCCACTTTTCTTTTGTCCGCCCTTATATTTTCTCCTGAGGGTTAAAAGAATGTATCAAACAAAAGAATAGCCATTTAAAAAAATGGCTATTTTAACATCTTACCTTTATAGCCAGGAAATTGAGTCCACTCTCATTGGCCAAAGCCTTTGCTATCATTGTTTTAGAGCATCCAGGTGGCCCGTACAGGAGAATTCCTTTAGGTGGCTGAATACCCATCCGGAGGAAGGATTCTGGATGTTTCAAGGGCCACTCCACAGCCTGTTTCAATTTCAGTTTGATATTGTCCATTCCTCCTATATCTGACCAGGATACCTGTAAAACAGAACATTTTCTAAAATACAAGTTTTGCCAAGGTAAATAGAAGTTTAAAAATAGAGAGAAAAAAGAAAAGAGATAACATGCCATTAACATATAAGAGGGAACAGTATCATTTAAAAATCAAGATCCTTGAAAAAAATTCCAGTAATATCAAGAAGTAAATTAGAAGTACATAAAATGTGAGCTGCTTATTATAGAAATTACACAGGAAAACATGTTTGTTTTTTAATACATGTCTTGTGTAAATAACTGTCTAAATGATTGTTGAGACGATGCTAAGTCTATTTTCTCTTCTGTTGTTACTGTTAACTGTCACTGAGTTGGTTCTGGACGTCTGGCAATCTCACGTGCAAAGGAATGGAACACTGTCTATTCCTAAGCCTGGTCATACCTTTGTGATCCACTGGCTGATTCTCCAAAATACTCCAGCCTTTCTTCCTAATCTATCTTGATCTGGAAGAAACACCGTAACCTGCTCAGCCTAGTAAGAATCCTCAGGCCTCCAATGGCAGATGGCGGCTGTTCATGAGGTGCACTAGCCATGAATCAAAACCCAGATCTCCTGCCTTAAATTAAGTAAATTAATTCCAGCACTGACTCACGAATGCTTCATCTAAATGGCTCTAAATTTAGTTTTTCTCTGTTGCAAATGGTTTGAGTCAGTGACACAAGGTACCATCTACTGTTGTTAGCTGAGTTCCAGACAGTCACCAAGTCATGAGTGCCTCACACAGCAAAAGACGACTGCAAAGTCCACCACCGTCCTCATGATAGGTTGTGAACTATACTACTATAATTCATAGTTTCCACTGTCTAATAGTCCTGCCAATCTCCAAGTATTTCTTCCAGTCAGTCTTAGTTGGAAGCTGACACCTATTCAGCCTTACTAGCAACACAAAAAGATCGAAAGAAAGATGATAACTGTGTACGAAGGTTATTGACAGCAAATCAAACCTGTATCTCCCACATATAAAACAAAAACTGTACCATGAAACCACTAATGACCTCAAGGTCTCATTTACCATTTAACTTCTCAAACTGAAATTATTGACAAGCATGTTTTGTAGGTCTTTATCAAATATGTAAAGCACAGTAGTGGTGCAATGATTAAGCACTCTGCTGCCAACTCAAAGCTTAGAGGCTTGAACCTACCAGCATTTGTGAGGGAGCCTAAATCTAGCCATTTGCTCCTGGAAAAATTCAAGCTAAGAAACTCTATGGGGCAGTTCTGCTCTGCCCTATAGGATAATAGTTGTGAGCTGGAATCAACTTGACAAAGCACAACATTGAAAACAACATGCAACAGATAATATTTTGTCTTTGGTATAGAACACATTTAAATTTTGTTCCTTTTTCTCAACTAAAAAGTACCTCCAAAGCAAGATAGTTCTTCAAATGTTAATTTATATAATAAATATAAATTAAGAGACAAACTAGGAATCAAAAAAAGCAAACGAATAACACAGGAATCACTTCTTGAAGAACTTCACAACTAGTAACATTATATAAAGCATTATATAAAGGAAAAGATATTAAGTAAAATAGCAAAGATACAGAAAACGCCTTTAGGCTTTCCCAAGAAAAAATGATTGTTTCCACCTAGAAGGCAAGTCAGAAAGCCAACCCTTAATCATACATACAGTATCATACAGGACACTGGAAATGCAAAAATAAAGAAATGGTCAGGTAGAGATAAAAAATAAAGAAAGGCTCAGAAGCAAAGAGATCTGAAGAGGATGAGATACCAAGATTGAAGGGAAGAGAAAACAAATAAAGCTAAGTTTAAAATTAAAGTGTAAAAGATTAAGATCTCAAAGTTGACCAAAAAAGATTGTTAAATGGATTAATAGAGACAATATGGACCAAAGAGGAAAGAATCATCAATAAGGGAAAATTATTGATATTTTGGGATATACAGATCTGGACCTTGGAAAAAGATATTCAAAAGATAAAAAGGGAACATATTAAAAAATACAGGCGAGCACACAGAAGCAAATGAAGAGAGGAGAAAGAGTGGAACATATCCTGGCCCACCAAGCCCTCAGGATAATATTCCTGTTCAGAGAAGCCAATGCACAGAGAGGACAATAGGGTCTCTTGGCCCCACCACAAGACATGACGTCCCTCACTGACCCATAGAGCTACGAGGAACAACAGTAGAGGAAAATACTAAGGGTGTGCAACAGAGCAGCAAGGGGAGCAAAGCAAAGCAATGAAGTCCCCAGAGATTACCAAAAATAGACTTTGGGGCCAGGGCATGGAACCCCATCAGATTCGACCAGAAAACACACCTAAAGGTCAATAAACAGACCTGGAACTATTTATAGGCTTTTTTTTGGTCATTGCTTTTTTCGTTTTTGTTTGTTGTGCTTATTATTGTCTCTCCATGTCCACCTAGAAAAAATAGGCGGGATAAGCAATCTGGAGGAGAAAACAAAGGTATGAGGTTGGGGGTGGGGTGGGACGGGTGGGAGAGGGCAGGCAAGGAAAAGAAGTAGGGGTTAACAAACCTAGTGACAAGGGAACAGCAAGTGATCTAACATTGATGGCAAGGAGGGAGGATGCCTGGTAGGGATTGATCAAGGGCAATGTAGAGGAAATACTGAAACCCGAAAGAAGGCCGAACATGATAGTGGGGACAAGAGGAAAGTAAATGGAAATAGAGGAAAGAACTAAGAGGTAAAGGGCATGTATAGAGGTCTAAATACAGGCATATACATATGTAAATATATTTACATATAATGACAGGGAAATAAATGTACATATATTTATATGTGAAGTATCAAGGTACCAGATGGACATGGGCCTCTACTCAAGTACTACCTCAATTCAAGAACACTTTATTCTAAAAAACCTGACAGTCTGTGATGCTCACCTTTCCAACACGATCACTGGACAAAGCGGGTGCACTAGCAAATGTGGTGAAGAAAGCTAATGGTGCCTGGCTATCAAAAGATATAGAGTCTGGGGTTTTAAAGGCTTGAAGACAAACAAGTGGCCATCTAGCTGAGAAGTAACAAAGTCCACATGGAAGAAGCACACCAGTCTGTAATAACACGGTGTCTATGGGACCAGGTATCAGCCATCAAAAAATCATATCAATGTGAATGAGGGGAAGGGTGGAGTGGGACCCCAAAGCTCATCTGTGGACAATTGGATACCCCCTTACAGAAGGGTCACAAGGAAGAGATGATCCAGTCAGGGTGCAGTATAGCACCGATGATACATACAACTTTCCTCTAGCTCTTGAATGCTTCCTCCCCTTACTATCATGATCTCAATTCTACCTGACAAATTCAGGTAGACCAGAGCATGTACATGGGTACAGATAAGGGCTGGAAACGCAGGGAATCCAGGACAGATAAACCCCTCAGAACCCATAATGAGAGTAGTGATACCAGGAGAGGAAGGGGAAGGTGGGGGTAGAAATGAGAAACCGATCACAATGATCTACTTATAACCCCCTCCTAAAGGGATGAACAACAGAAAAGTGGGTGAAGGGAGATATGAGTCAGTGTAAGACACATATATATATAAATTATCAAGGACTCATGAGGGAGGGGGGGTATGGAGGAGGAAAAATGAGGAGCTGATAACAAGGACTCAAGTAGAAAGAAAATGTTTTGAAAATGATGATGGCAACAAAGGTACAAGTGTGCTTGGCACAATTAACATGTGTATGGATTGTGATAAGAGTTGTATGAGCCCCTAATAAAATGATTTTAAAAAAATACAGGCATTGCGAACGGAGTTATGCAAGAGGACGGGGCTGCAATTTTAGATTTTAGTCATAGCCATATACAAACAACAACAGAAATCATGAAATCAATGAAAATTGCCAACCAAGAGAAATGTGTAAATTTCCCTGCATCAACAGTGGGTTTTATTTTGCCCGTGTGTGTGTGTGTGTGTGTGTGTGCGCGCGCGCACATGCTCATTTTGTTTTTCCTTTTCCTGATAACTGATTTCACCCATTAATAAAACTAAAATTAAGCTTGAAATTAGCCACGAGTTTAAGCTTAAGCTATAATTTATCAAAGAAGGTCAGTAGGCCTATTGTACACTGAAGTGCAGCAGAATTTTCACTCTGAGGTGAGGGCTAATTCCTGTGTGCACTCACTGGTGTCTTTGATCATTTTCTATTTTATTTTTAATTTTCATTTTGAATAATTTTCAAACTTAACAACCAAAAAACCCATATCCATCAGGTTGATTCAAGCCCATGGTGATCCAATAAAATGGGCTAAAGGTGCTCCGTAGGGCTTCTAAGGCTGCAATCTCATAGAATGCCCCGTCTCTCTCCCACAGAGCAGCTGGTGGGTTTCAAGCGCCAGCTTTTGGGTTAGCAGCCAACTGCTCAACCATTGTACTGTACTATCAAGACTCCTTACACATATACAATAGCTGCAACAATGCAATTCACTGAGACCCTTCATATCCATCGCCAAAATACACCAATATTTAATATTTATCACATTAAATGAGACCATTGCATGGTCTTAATTTCTCTATATACAAAGCTATAGCAGGAGCTTGAAGAAGTTCATGGAAAACTGGAATTAAAAAATAACTTAAGATTTCCACGAACCTTTTGAAGCCACCTCATATACATAAACCTACATACACAAACATACATACTTATTAACTTTTTCATTTTCTGCTTAATCTTTTTTATAAAGCTATAAATATCATGACATTTTTTTTAAACATTTTATTAGGGGCTCATACAACTGTTATCCCAATCCATACACACATCAATTGTGTAAAGCGCATTTGTACATTGTTTCTCAAAATATCATGACATTTTTAAAAGACTCAGCAATCAGGTAAAAATAAACACTATAAAAAGAATGCGACTAGCAACTGTTAAATACTACATAGTACTTAACTGCAATGATCTCTGGACAATATCACTGTTTTGAGTCTCTGGGTATATAGCCAAGAGTACAATTGTTGGGTCATATGGAGGAGTTACCGGGTCAGGAAACCACAGG